CCGAACGGCGGCCGCACCAGGCTCGCTGCGCCGCGTGCCGAGTTGACTTCTCTCCCCCTGAAAATCTTGGACAGTTCTCTCCTGAAAGGAAGAAGCGTGCTGCCAAATAGTTCTTAACGGTGTTTCTTCTCAAAGCCACTCGCCGCTTCATATGGCATGGATGTAGTTTGCTATCGGGGTTCAGCCCTGTTAGGTCTGCAGAGGCTGCCCTTATAACAACTTTGCTGTAGACGCAGTAAAGGACACAGTCCCAGCCTGTGCCCAGAGGCGAATGCTGTAAGGCAATGAATATCCCCACCCAGCACTGTATAAGCAGTCTGGGGAGATTGCCAGTTGCTGTATTTCAACAAAGCGTGCTCATGTATTATTACTAACTTTGTGTTGCTATTAGACGGGTAATGGAAATGAAGGAAAACTGCCCAACCCTTCCCCCAGTATTTTCAACCTTCACTTCAAATGAAGTATTCGGACAACTTGGAAGTAGCGCGAGAGACAATACTCCCTGAAGTGCTTCAATTTTACATCTTATTCCTGTTCTTTATACATTTGAGCCGAGATTCATCATATATTACTTTTTCTTACTGATCATGTAGTAACAACAATGGCAAATATTTGTGTCAGGCAGGCAGCTGTACTGAGCATTGCTTCAGTTACTAACTCCCAGCACCCACAAAAATGGCTCTTGGGGATTTTCACTGCAGTTTATCATTTGAAGTTGATGTGTGAAAAATGATAGCTCATCATCATCTCAAGGGGACCTTTCTATCTTTTCAAGATAACAGGGTATCAGGGCTGTACAGCTGTCCTCAGTGCGGAATAAAAAAATCTGGGTGATTAGTCCTCCATTTCACAGAGCATTTGTGATGCAACAGGTGTCCTAAGTGAGTAGGCCAGGAACTTCATGTAAAAAGGTCTTATATAAAATATCTTGCAGACTTTAATGCAGTAATTATTACATATTTGTGAAAGATACACCCCTGAAATGCTGTTACGGCTTCAGTTTTTTGATGAAGCAGTGCTTTGGATGGAATCCAGCTTTGACTTTGAGAGCTGTGCAGGGCCATTCATTTAAAACTCAGCTGCGTGCATCTCATTTTCATGTGCTTTTGCAAGCTTTGTAAAAACCTAAACAAGAAATAGTTAAAATTGCACTGCATTTACAAGACTGTTTTTTAAAAGTAATTCCAAGCCTTAGTTTAAATGGTTGTGCAATTTTAGAGATACTAATTGCTTTTTGTTTCTTAGGGAACACACAAGCTTCTTCATCATGGGAGCTGTAGTAGCTGATGATGGTCCCTCAGGTGTTAAAGCCCCTGATGGAGGCTGGGGCTGGGCTGTCCTTTTTGGCTGTTTTATCATCACAGGATTCTCCTATGCCTTTCCTAAGGCAGTTAGTGTCTTCTTTAAAGAACTTATCCGGGAATTTGGCATTGGATATAGCGACACTGCATGGATTTCCTCCATTCTGTTGGCCATGCTTTATGGAACAGGTGAGTAGTTATCTGAAACAGTATTGTTATTACAATTTTTTTATTACAATTATTGTTATTACAATTATTACTGTCATACAATTAAGTTTGTAAATCTTACAGCCGTTTACAGTCTGTATCATGACTGCATATCATTAGTTGTGTGCAAATAAGGCATTCCAAGGAAGAATTACTAATAATCACATAAATCAGAAGATTTTTAAGCCCATCCAGTTTATTTAAAATTATGTCTTTGTAAGTCAGTAGCTGCTAAAGATGATGAAAAAGAAAAATCACAGGGCACTATGAAGACAAAAAATATTGACTATAAATAGTCAAAAGTATTTGACTACAAAAGTATTTGACTACAGAGGGAAGGACATTTTTCCTGATTGGCCTGACTTCATGGACAAAGTACAAAACAAGTCAGAATCACTGAAGTTGGAAAGACCTTAGACCTTTAAGATAATTGATTCCTACTATGAACGTTGCACTTTGAAGTCTACCAAAGAAATACAAAGTATCAGAAAATCAGTTGTAAAGTTGGTTTATTGTAGCAACTGTAATTTGCTTTTCTTGCCTAGGTCCACTTTGTAGCGTATGTGTCAATCGCTTTGGTTGTCGCCCTGTCATGCTGGTGGGTGGCCTTTTTGCTTCAATGGGGATGGTGATAGCTTCCTTCTGCACAAGCATCGTTCAGATCTATCTAACTGCAGGTGTGATTACTGGTAAGTACTATGCTGAAAATGAGTTCACTTATATCTTAGCTTTAGGCTGAAGTATTGTTTAAGTGAAAAATACCCGAAGCATAAGGATAACCCAACTGGGCTTTTATAAAGATGGCAGATAAATGTGGAATTAAAGGTCATTTATTTTTGTTATTAGCATGAAGTGTAATCGTAAAGTACAATAATACTATGGGGGTAAAATATTTTGTGTTATCTTAGGATTCTTCTGCCCATTTGGAACAAAACTATTTTCTCTTAAGTCATGAGTCAGAAAAACTGTAATTAGAATATCTTTAACAATGATATTGTAGGCCAGTATTAATTTTTATGTACCCTCTACTACAGGTTTGGGTTTGGCACTAAACTTTCAGCCTTCACTCATCATGTTAAACCGTTACTTTGACAAACGCCGGCCCTTAGCCAATGGGCTATCTGCTGCTGGGAGTCCAGTGTTTCTTTGTGCTCTCTCACCATTGGGGCAGATATTACAGCATGAGTACGGTTGGAGAGGAGGATTCCTTATCCTGGGTGGGATGCTGCTCAACTGCTGTGTATGCGGAGCACTAATGAGACCTTTGGAGCCACCCAAAAAGGCTGAAGCTACCAAAGAGCCAGCTGAGAAGAAAGTGAAGAAAAAACTTCTGGATTTCAGTGTGTTTAAAGACAGTGGTTTTGTAATCTATACACTAGCAGCATCTATCATGGTGCTTGGCCTCTTTGTTCCTCCAGTGTTTGTTGTGAGTTATGCCAAGGATTTAGGGTATCAAGACACCAAAGCAGCTTTTCTTCTGACTATTCTGGGATTCATTGATATCTTTGCTCGCCCAATCTGTGGAATGGTAGCTGGTCTTAAATGGGTTAGACCACGCTGTGTCTACCTCTTCAGTTTTGCTATGATTTTTAATGGTTTTACAGATCTCATGGGTTCTATGTCTGTTGATTATGGTGGACTGGTGGTCTTTTGCATTTTCTTTGGCATTTCTTATGGAATGGTAGGTGCTCTTCAGTTTGAAGTTCTCATGGCTATCGTTGGTACGCAGAAGTTTTCCAGTGCTATCGGTTTAGTGCTCCTGGCAGAAGCTATGGCTGTTCTGATTGGCCCACCATCAGCAGGCAAGTATGCCATTTAGCACAGAATTTAAAATTGTGTGCATTGCATTCATTTACACAAAATACAAGGGAGCTGAGAAAAAGATGCAAGTCACTCAAGAAGTGCAGATTGTGCTAGTGTTGCACATCTTTCGAAGGCTTTCTGCAGTTGCACTCTGAAATACTCCAAGAAGGGATGGAATAACCCGTTTCCTTCTTGGGTCTATTTCAGGATTGGTTAAACTGCCATCTCGAGATGCTGCTATTTCTTTCTGAAATCCTGCACTGATCTTCTTATTGGTAGATAGCTGACTGGGATTCAGAATATGAAACCTGTCAATTTTCTTTGGGAAATATTAGGATACATTCTCTATATCCATGGTAGATTTGAGGGAGGAAAGAAAACATCTGAAAGACGAAATAAAATCCTACAAGGAGGCCTATAAAACCAGACTGATTTAAGGAAGGTGGAGTGCTTCTATTGCACATCTTACAACCCAAGAATAAGGGGACATGACAAAAGAGTAAAATTCATTAATTTGAAGTCAAAACACAAATTAATTACTAATCAAAGAACATACATTTTACAGACCCTGAACTGAAACACACTTTCCCTCCCAAAACCCACCAGGTCACTGCCATAGAATGCTTACTGTTTATACCAGACAATTTTAACAAAACCCCCTTCATGGGAAAACCAGTATTATGCACCACTTCTTCCAATCTTCAAGTTTGGAGAGGCACTTCCTTCATATCCTCCCACCTGTTCTTTCACATCCACTGCATCCTGTAAAAATTTACCTTTCCCAGTGTCAGAATCAGTCAGTTACTCCAGACTGACTACTGAATAACATTTTCATTTTAAGCAGGCAGTCCACTACCCGTGTAGAAAGGTAAATGAAATTGGGAGCAAGAGGATAAAGATGATCAGATCATGATACAGATGACACAGATACCATTCATGGATGCCCATATTTTTATCTGAAATACAAAGCATCTGTTTGATCTTTCGCATCTGAAGGCGAGGCCAGTTTTATTTCAGATGAATTGCATGCCTCTGTGTGCAGCAGACTATGTGTTTTGATATCTCATGCAGTGTCAGTGACTGTTAAACTGAACCGAAATAATTGAGAAATATTTTGTTATAAACTTGTTTTAATCCTATTTCAAAAAATCTTGTTAGGTAGTCATGGTGATTCTAGACAGGAGAGTCAAAATGCTTTAAAAATCAGAAAAATATTCACTGCAAGATAATCACTTTTGTTAACTACCTGGAATGTTGCCTTTTTCAGGAAAACTCCTGGATGCAACGGGGAGGTACATGTTTGTTTTCATTATTGCTGGAATTGAAGTTACCACCTCAGCCCTTGTATTGGCCTTGGGAAATTTCTTCTGCATTAAGAAAAAATCAGAAGAACCGCATACAAAAGAAGAAGCAGCAGAAAGAGAGGAATTAAACAAATGTGAAAACAAAACTCCTGAAGATGCCAAAGTGGACTCTATTGAAGTGGAGCAGTTTCTGAAAGATGAGCCTGAAAAAAATGGCGAAGTTGTAACTAACCCAGAAACATGTGTATGAGCATAACAAGGAACTGAGAAGTGTTTAGAAAAGAAAGATTTCCAACGCTATTTATTTTAGAAACAGAAATAGTTTAGGGTTGGGCCATCTGCTTTAGTAACTTGGGGCTAGTCAGCTCATCAGGTCTCTTTGGAAGCTGATTAGCTAGACAACATCTTACCGGAAAACTAGCTTTATTGGTAAAGGGTGGAACATTGTGGTTATGTATTTTATGTAAACTAAAAAAGCTTTTATGAACACAAGTAGGCTCTTGCTATGCATCACCAGAAACTGCTCACTTGGAAGATACGGGAAAAGCATATTTTCAGAAAAGTGGAATTATATGTATGTTTTCAGACAATATTGATGAAATTGCTGTGTTGTGTGGCTAAATATAATTTCCCTACGTTCTCTGTGAAGGGAAAAGAGTTTGAGATGGATAAAAATCTCAGGAACTTAAAGGTCTCCATTAGGTTTTAGAATTTCTTACCTTTTTAGATTTTTTTTTAGATAATTGGCTCAGCCCTAATTTAATTTTGATAAGATCTGTAACTTTGATTTATGTAAATGCATTTCTGCCTAAATCTGTAACCTTTGCAATAATCACCTGGAAATCCTGTTTTTGGAAAGGCACATTACAGACAGTGTCCTCAGCAGATCACACAAGTGGTATTCTGAGATAGTACTAAAAAAACCCAAACAGCAGAATGGATCCTGACAGACCTTGAGGAAACAAAATTAGTCCACAAATCCATGCATTGTTTTCAGTAAAATTTCTCTAGAGCATTGAAAAATATTCCAAGTAACATGGACAAGATGATCAGTAGAATAGTCTGAAAAAGTGTCCATTTTGCATACAAAAGAAATGATGGTGCAAGTTTCCGGATGACTTACAGAGTGGGTAGACTTTGGGAAGAGACTGAACTACTTTGAAACATGTTAGTCATCCATAAAATGCAATGTTAGCATCATGGAAAGGTTTTAATATGTTTAGTTTTGAGGTTTTTTTTCTACCCCATTTATCCCACTTCCCTACCCCCCAGCTTAATCTATGGAAGTTCAAAGTGCCATTCTTGCTGTTTGAGGAAACATGACAGAACTGTTGATAATTTTTATGATGGCATGGTACTGAATAGAAAAGGAAGGCATTGTGTTTTTTTTCCCACCCAAAACCACTCAAGAAATGTAATTTTTAAAAATATAAAATCATGCTACTGCATCTCATCTCTCAAATCTGCTTATAAAAAACTGAATAGGCTTTGTAACTGCAGTAACAATCTTCAAAACAGACTAAATGTAACAGATTCAATTTTCTTAGTAGTAGCAAAGGAATACTGGCTTTCAGGTGCCAAAATTGTTCTGCTTAATAACTGAAAATTGAAAGACCCTAATCCCTTACAATTCAGTATCCACTTAAAATTTCTAATGGAAACAAAGTGCCAAAACCATGAACCATTCTCTAATGAATGATACCAACTTCCATTTTGGAAGTTTCTTCAAAATGGTTTTGCAATGTTAGGACAACCTTGCACAGAAATCGGAAGGTTAGAAATATAACTTTAAAAAGAAATGGATGCGACATAGAATAAACTGGTTTTACATCCTATGTAGTGCATTATTTTAAAGTCTTATTAATTTAGTGGCAGCAATCGTAGTGAATGGTATTTTCCAGTTGTAACAGCTTGCTTACTGAACTTAGCTCCAGTTTGCTAAAGACTAAATTGGTACTTGAAGCACAACACTGATAACTCCAGAAGGCAAGAGAAAAACGGAATCCACAGAGTAATTTATTATATCCTTGGAGGCTGCTTCAGATGATACATGAAAGCCTGATACAGCTTTCAGATTGGAGTTCCCTGTTGTTTCAAAAAGCAGAAACTGAAAACCTTTCCAAAGGTGAATTCAGATTCTCAGACAGCCATTTCTGACTTACCGTGTGCTTTGATCACTGGATTTCTTTGCTAGATAATGCTATGCAGTTATCACAGAATGAAATGGTTATTCTGCAAATTGTCCAGACTGCTTTATGGGTGACAGAATGTCATTTGTGCTTATCATACTGACTTTCCAGACTATGTTTCATTTTCCATACATAATACTTTTACAGTTAAGCTGGAAAAAATTTTATGCTGTAATTTTATGTGATTTGAGACAGAAAAAGAAGTTAGGAAGACAAGGAGACACGGTTCAACAAGAAACCATAAATCATCTTGTAAGCAAAACTGGTGTTAATAGAAAGGCCTCATTTGCCAATACAAGTTATTTTCTTCCACTCAAAGACCAATACCATTGACTGGGACTGCCAATGCTCTTGTGCTGTTTTCAGCACAGGCCTACCAATGGCTTGCAGTATTTATGACAGCAGGAGATGCTTACTGAATGACAGTGGTCAAATCAAAGGACTCCTTTATTGACTGTGAGGAAAAAAAGGATTAGAATTTAATTCACTAAGCAGTTTAAAAAAACATATTATCAGTGTAAAATCTTTTATCATTTTAATTAATTGCAAGAAGCATCAATACAAAGGTGAGAAACTCCTAATGTAGCTCTCTTAGCAACATCCAAAGTGGCAGGCTTGAGAGTACTTCAGAGTTTTAGAGCCAGTTAAGCTCCTTGCTCCCATTCAGTTCCACTCAAGGTAACACCAAAGTGTGTGGTAGCCCTCCAGTCCTCATTGTGTTCAGCTGCCTTTATCTTCTTGGAAAGAGATTCGTTAAACTGATGGGAAGGAAACCTCCATGCCAGATATCCAGGCTGAACACCTGCTGGCCATTACACTAGACTGGGCTGAAGCATGTACCCAACTGCTCCAATAACCCTTTGTGGCCATGTCAATACATCTCCTATTTTATAGATCTCCCTCCTTCTACCCCAGTGTGTTAAAAACTCAAAACCAACCAAAACTAAACCCCACAAGCATCTAGTCCTTAGCTTCCCAGCACTGTCCAGCCAGGCTTCTTTTTAATTTAACTCTGCTTACTGTAAATATTTAAATAGATTGATAAATATTTTTTTTAAAGTATTTTGTATATTTAAAAGCAAGGAACTGATTTAAATTCTTCCAGATACTTTGCTACTCTATTTCTTTAATCTCAATACCAACTGAGATGCCCTTAAGAGCGGTCTGCGAGATGTGCTCATCCACATATTTTGAGGATGTACACATCGAAGCCATAAAGCATTGCTAAGGAGACACTGATTGCTCAGGGTCACAGGCAGAACAGTTTCATGCAACATCTACCCAGATGAACCTTTGTTCCACCTTCACTTGATTAAAATTTTGTGATTTGAAAAAAGGGAAAAGGAAAAGGAAGGGAATGTAGGTAATTATGCAACCAAGTTGCGAAGCATCCAAAGATTCTAGTTTACTCCTACATCATACACTATTGAAACATATATAATTTCTTTTGACACACAGATCATGAATATATCTAAGAAGTCTGGAAAGTAAACAATCAAAAAACCAAAACAGTTTTCCAAGATTCTTTCTCTGAAAGTCGTGAATAGTCTTTTACCCCGCAGGCTGGCAAAATTTTGAAAGCATTTTGGATCTTCACACATTCTATAAATTGTGTACTATAGGATTTATTGGCAAAGTATTGTATGATTGATTATGTAATGGGTCTTAGAAAAGTAAGGGCCTGATGCAAGGAGATTAAATGTGCATAAATGCCAGTAATACACAAAGACTAGATAAAAAAGAATACATGTGTTTGCACATACATACGTACATATGTGTGTATATACATACATACATACATGAATAAAAATATATACGTAAACACGCAAAATACCCACAGGAGTAGATTACAGACAGTTTGCCCATTTATTAGACAGTGAGCAGAGTTAAAATTATTTTCTTCCTCCTATACAAAGATCAGTTTGCTTTTTTGAAAATTCTAAATTAAATATTTTGTACCCATTTGGAGCCTAGAAGACCTCAGCAGAACTAGAAGTCTTAAAGTAATGCAGCTGTTTCAAAATAAGCCAGTCCCCTAAAGTTAAGACTTGAGATGGATGGTATGAAGATATGGTGTAAAGGACTGGAGAGATTTTGTGTAATATTAAATTCCATCTACACAAACGGGTATTAGGCCACATAGAATCATTCTTTAAAAATAAATTAGAACATTCCCCTAATCAAGCAACCAATCTTCAAAATGAAAAAGCAAAATTCATATATGCACCATTGGCACATCCCAAAGAAAATGTTTAGTTTGGTAGACAATTATAAAAGGAAGAATTTCAGAATGCAAACTCTTACACGTTACAACATGTAAGTATTGACTTATGTAGTGTGTCTGTGTCTCTTTGCCACACTCATCTATAGGATTATGAGAAGCAATTAATTTTGTGCGAGATGACATTTTGTTTCTTGTTAATGCACTTTAATGTAATGTGTATATTTATACTTAGTAATTTTTTTATGCTTTTCTAGTAAACTGTTGCAAATGTAGTGAATAAATAAATATCTGATTGTCAAAAACTGTGGGTTTGAGAAAATAAGCTGAGGAAAAATTAACTTTAGCACCCCAATATGGATATTAGGCTTCATTTGCACATACCTATTAAACCGCTATACAGGGACAAGAGTGTTTATAGAGAAGAGCTGACACTCAGCTGACAGGCAGCCACAATTTAATGTGGGCAAGGGGACTGCTTTTGTCATGACTCATAGTTTGGCCAATTCCAAAATGGATATGTGCTTCTGCTGTAAGTGATCCTGAAAACTACTTTAAAGCATCATCTAATTTAAAATAACAGCAATTAATTTTGTACTGTGCTTTGTAAAAAATATTAATGTTCTCCTTTGAACAGTGCTCCAGATTTTGTCTGCAGGTAAAGTTTTATGAACTGTCTTGAGTTATAAAGCCCAAAATATTTTGAACACTGACATGTTGGCAAGCTGTCTGTACTGTCAAGTGATGCTCTTCAGAATTTGAAAGCTCCTAAGAAAACACAGTGCAGGCATACATTTATGTTGTGGGTTTTTGGCTCCTATGGTACCTCAGCTAGGACTAGCTCCTCAAGGTATAATCTCAAGGCTACATCCAGGTGAATCAAAATTACAAGCGGTGTAATTCACAAGCAAGACCGATCTTTTGGAATCTGAAGATACATACTTGTGCTTAATTCTAAGTATGTGTGTCAAGAGATCTTTGAGAAAACTTTCAAAGCTCACTTAAAAAAGTTTCTCTGTATATTTACACTGAAAAGGTCGCAGGTCTAGTTTACATAAACACATCCTCCCCTTAGTATTTGAATAGATACACGATTACCTTTTATGGTAGTTTAATTAAATTGGCAAGACTTAAGGTGTAATCAAATGCTTTGCAACCCAATGGCCAAACCAAGCCATATACTGCTGCAGGAATTAATATTACTCAGTGGACTAAAATGACAGAACTTACTAGCATGTAGTCAGCCCACTCTTGTGACAGAAAACCAGAATTTATCTTTGCCTCTGGCTGTCTTTGAGTCTGAAAGAAGTAGGGCCAATCACTGTAGGGGAAAATGTGCTTGATCTGATTTGCACAGCTGCTGTTTCCTGCTGCTGGACCTGTTGAAGAAAGTACTCCTCTACTTCTGGAAGACTAAACAACCTTGACAACAGCAGTGGCGCCGCGAATGAGAAGCAACAGCTTTGGAATGGATTGTTTCAGCAGCTTTCTCAATGCTTCTGAAACAGAGGTTATTTTTGTGTCAGTTAAAATGCTTATGCTCTTAAAAGCATTTTGCTAGTGACACAGTCAGTGAGATCAGCAGTCCTGTATTTGTCTGAGAATGTATGGCAAATTAAGATACGGAGTAAAAAGCTACTTACCTCTAGATATACACTGTTATTTCCTTGACTGAGCTCCGTATTTGCTTCATCATGTCAGCAACATTTCAGCTGGCAGCCTTCCTCACTACTCCCAGATGAATACTTCAGAGCATTAAGAAAGGATAGCTTTTGCTCTTCTGACTTTTCATTTACTACTCTTTCAACAGTTTAAAACCTTTCACAATAAAACTCTGAACCCAATGAAAAAGTATATACAGATTTTAGTATTTAAAATTCTTAAACAGCAAAAGACCTTCTGAGTCTCGTTGAAAAACGTGCCTTAAGATCCACTGATGATGTGTCAGACAAAATACATTTTTTTTGGCCGTGAGAGCAGAGAAACATTTGCTGTTAGGGGTCATCTAAGAAAAAGAACTGTGCATGACCTCAAATCACCCTGGCTTATCCTTTCCTTAAGGATTAAGGGAAATACCAGAAGCTGTGTCCTGCCTTTGTGCCTGTAATGCTTGCAGGTCTGAACCAAGCTGAGGACCGTAACTGAACAATTTTTTTTTTCTTGTAGTGCTCAGGACTAAGTATTTTCTTTTTAGTGTATAATGTACCAAATGAATTCTTGTTCCACATCCCATCCCAAACATCCTGGATTGGTCACGGTAAAGACACTGTAGACTAGGGCTTAATAATTTAAGATGATCCATGACATTTTTCCCTTTTTCCACTTTTTCACATTCCTCTTTGTCCATTAGGCATACATATATATCTCAGACCTATACCTTAAGCATTTTGAATCAAGAATTGCCCAAAATGTGATTAACAAAGAACATTTTAGGCATATTTTTGTAGATTCTCTGTGTACAGTTCTCTGCTCATTTTCTACTATCCCTCTGCCTGAAGCATATAATGGGTTTGACAGAAGAACCAAACCATCCTAGTCTTAATAATCTTAAGCAAGGAAAAAACCCACCAATATCTAAGAAGTTGTAAAGTGTTAATACTGTGCAAATATCTGCTGAAAAAGTCGGTATGATTTGGCTGTGAAACAGATTCTTACTGAAGACCAGGCCTCTGAGCACTCTCCTTGCACAAAAGTATTGAACAGTACACATAGTCTATACCAATTCAGGTTCAGACAGTCACTTAAATCTATACATATGCATGTAAAATCAATAACTGTCACTTGAATGAATCAAAGGGAAATGTACTGTTTTTAATAACAAAATACTGCATTCTTTCACAGTAAAACCTTTTTATTATTAACCTAACTCATCCAGTGAATTTTAGAAGCTGCTGTAGGATTAAGTTCATGATGGATTACACTTGCTCACAATCTCAAAGCTTAAATTTTGATTTCTGAACAGATGGCCCAGCACTATTAAAAAAACAGTAGCATTGTTTGTTTTAATTTGGTATTTTGTACACAAAGTGCAGCTCTTGTAAAGCAAAAGTCAAAGAACAAAATAAACACCTTTTTATTTAATTATTTTAAAAGAGAAACTAAATATTCTTGAAATCAACACGTATGCTGCTCTAGCCAATGCTATCCTCAAGGGTCTGGGACATAAGGAAACAAAGACAAGTAGTTATACTCATGACATTTTTCCTACTGGAAACGATGACTTCATCAACGTGCCTTCCTCCAAGGAGTACTTTGAATATTTTCATGAAGCTAACGTGGAATACATGGACTCAAATGTTTTCTCTTAATGGCTCTCTTAAAGCAGAGGATTTATTTTCTTTTTTTTTTTAAAGTACTTGTACCACAAAAACTCAAGGACTCTGTAACCACTCAAGATTATGTAAAACAGCGGCACAGGTGGTATTTTCCATATAAAAGCATATACACAATTTTAAGCGAAAACCATGAGAAGAAATTAAAATATCCTTCCAACTTCTAAATGTCTGATAATAAGAAAACACGGAGGGTTCCTGAAGGTGTGCCTACCCTCAGGTTACAATAGACTTTTGAGAATCATATAGCAAAATCTGGAATTTTATTATACAGGGCACCACTGTGAGTACACCTCACTATTTTTCTTGCCTTTATCTTAGCTCCCATAACTGATCTAATCTCAATTCCCCTACTATACTTTCTTATCAATACCCTGTATTACTTGATAAGCGAAAGCTTTTGTACAGAATAAAAAAACTTCTGGAAAAAAAAGAAGTATTCAAACAAAAACATTTACCTTTAAATTGGCAAAAAGGCATGCTTTCTGTGAGCAAAGTAATTAATGCTTTCTCTTTCTTCCTGTACACCCCAGGATTATAACTACCAAACTCTTTCACTGAAAGTTGTGCTACCAAGATAGTATCTTCAAATGTTTGCAACTGACAATATTCTTTGTAGGTACAGAAATCCCTTGAAAAAAAGAAAAAAGAAGTGAGAAATGAGAAAAGAGAAGAAAAAAGGAAGAAAAGAGAAAAAAGAAAAGAGTTGCATCAGGTAAATGGTGAAGATTCATTGCAAGTCAGTAAGTTACACCAAGAAGAACAGAAGTTATTATGAATGTATTTACACAACTGTTAAATTACACAAATACAGTGGTAGTACAAATGAAGTGCTTTGAGATACTGGTTTATACACAGGTTCATATAGACAGTCCAACTATTTTCTGCATGATGGAATTTAGCTATTATGAGGACAAAAACTGCCCACAAGTGAGTACAATTCTAGAAATCTGCAGTTAACTTTTAAGTATAGTACAGCAATCTAATGGTCCAGATACATAGGAAATAAAAAGGCTGCTTTTTTCAGTCCCTCAAACACTACACTATTAACCACAGATATTTACAAGAAAAGCACAGTGAAGTGTAAAACTGCTCAAATGGTAGTGCACATGCCTAAAATACCAAAGTTTATAGTAACTGAGGAAATAATTCTCTTATGCAAACTTACCAATCAATCAAATTCTTGCGCTTTTCCACTATACTCTCCCCAAACACACATTTCCCCAGTCTGACCCAGAGTAAACACAAGCAAATAGCTACTGTTATGAAAGCATCCAAAGAAGAATGATAATTCTTGGTACGGGGACTTTTGAGGGGGCAAAAAAGAATTTGTAAACACCCCAAAAATAAAAACTACTCTTCATAAAAATCTGCAGACCAATATACCTTTAAAAATTGTCTCCATTTCTCAAAATACCTAACTGTTCAAACAAAATCTCTGTACATACTTTCCAGCACAGAACTTCCCATAATTTCAGTCATAAAGAGTTCTGGTACTGTTCCAAGTACCATAAGGACAGAACACGTACTTTTACAAGACCATTTACAGTAACAGACAGTATGAAGAATTTCCCATATTTCATAACCAACAGGAGCCAACAATACCTGCAACAACCTGAGCATGTTGAGTCATTCATGCCTAGATAATTACTCTGGGCATTCTCAGGTTAAATATACTTAAGAATTAAATATGATATGCATCTGAATTGTAAAAATTCTCAGGATTTTATGGCAAGAATAGGTTATTATGTTTGTGGGGTGTTATTTAGGGTTTTTTTTTTTTTGTATAAGAATTCCTTTTTTGAGTCTTGGCATGTAACAGAAGGCCTAAATCAATGTATTTATAAACATGTGGATTCTGAATGAAACATGCAAATTCTCTGAAGATTCAGCAGCAATGTCTATTTTGCACTTGTAACAGTCTCCAAGCTAATCAGCCTCAGCGGAGAAGAAACAAAATTTTCTGAGTAAAAACAATGTTTGAAAGTATCCATTCACCCAAACTAAGCAGAGAGACAGAACAAGCTTTCTAATTCTAAATCCCTCAAGTGTCAGTCTTTTACTTTGTTCTTAATGTTCTTTACAAAAAAAGAAATTCATCATTACAATCTCTACTATACTTAAGACTCTCCTGCAGGGTATTTTGTTATCCTCTTCTATGAAACACAATGAGTATTTAAAAATTCATTTGTGCTACACAGAAAGTTAAATGTCCAGTGTGAATGAAGACAGCAAACAGTAACATAAACCTCTAACAGTTTTAAAATCTTCATGAAAAAACCGACTCAGAATGGGACAATACGTGAAAGTAAACAATTTAAATAACAGCAGATGGTTTTGATTCATTTACATGTTCCCTGGCAGACTAATCTTTTAAACAAGAAATTTCAAGTCATTATCTTTAGTTCAGGTTTGTTTATACTCTACATTTTTAAATCAGACAAAAGCAAGAGTTCTTTACAGAGAAGTAAGCCAATAATTTTAGCAAAATGATACAAAAAACTTTCTTAAACCAAGTAAAAGATTTATAGTTACAGTAGAATAATAAAAAGGGAGTAAAGTCTGCCGCCTGTGGAGGGAAAACTGAAATGGCCATCCAGTAACAGGCGGTGAACTCTGTAAACCATCTTTCTTTTCCAGCCCTGTTACCACAGGGTTCTCTTAAGGTCATTGGGTTTCTGGGAAAAGCGTCCTGTAATGGCAGCTGCTGGAGTCTCTGCATGTTCCTCCAAGAGCTTTTTAGGTCACATGGAGAACTCCAATTTCCGCTCTAGTTTAGGGTATATTTGCTAGTAAAGCCACTGGCAACATGGGAGATCAGCCATGCATTATCTGCCCTCCATGGCAAAATAATTTTCACCGGTGCACAGCAGACTGGAGAACACTGGTAGTAACCCGAGCAGGAATCTACCAAAGCCAAAAAACAAGACAACATCAGCACACATCCTTCCAGTTAACATACAAGTGTCTCGCAATGTACTTCTAAACTATCAACTGCCAAAATATAAGTGTGTGAATTTAAAATTCAGTGAGCAATATTATGTTTCACATCCACCTATAGCTACACAAAGTTCCCTACAATCTTCCTCTTTTATTAGAAGTTAACACGGAAAATTCACCTTTCCAGTCAGAGGGGATGTTTTGAAGAAAATTAGAGCATAAACATGTGCAGAAGAACGAACCAACCAGATCAAAACACTATCAACGCACAGTAATAGACTCAATGGATAATTAATTAAAAAAAATATTAAGAAGGTAAAAAAGAAATTCATTATTTTCAATAGCTTTTCTCTGTCCATGGGACACTGTGTTAAAAGATACCTCTTGTATTTCCATAGCTTGACCTACTGAAGCAAGCGTAGCATTATTTCTTACCACTTTCACCGTGAAAGTGAAAAACCATACATCTCTGCAATTTAAGAAGCGAGAAACATCTAAGTAGCTGGATCGGTATTCAGTATTTGTTTCAGTTGTGAACAACTACAAATACTAAGGCATACAGTACAGGCCAACCAATGCAGCCACATACCAGACCAGACCAGAATGTGCATGTTTCCTGCATACAGGCTTTTCAATGCAAAGCTCTAGGTTTACTTTTCTGCATTTTTTGTAACATCTATTTGTTTACTAAGATCTGATAACTGGTCTTTAAAGTGTTAAGCTGTCATTTACAGTTGGATCTTTTTAATGCTATACACTGTTCGAGAAGCAGGTTGTGCAGAGTCAGCCAAGCACACAAAGCAGAAGGAGAAAACAGAAGAGAAATAGCAGGACTCTTCACCAACTAGAGATACAGGATTAATGCAAGCTTAAGCTTTATAGAGAAAGTGAGACAGCAGACAAGAGTTACACAACAGAATTTATTAAGGAACAGAAAAATCTCACAGCTTTTTTTTAATATATAGCAAATCAAAGAAGCTTTTGAAATACTTAAGAAAAGTATCCCTCAGCCACTAAGGTTCAGATTCCAACTGAAAGCTGTTATTTCTCATATGAAACCTATTATTGCCAAAAGCAGAACAGACTAAAAAGCCAAAAGCTGCACACAGAAAGGCAGAGACTTCTACTGCACTGAACAGTGGAAAGGACTTGGTAATACCTAAATTCAAGTCTGCCTACCTCTGAGATGCTCATGGTCAACTATTCCTGTTAGTATGTGAACGTTTGTTTTAAATATAGATCTGAACAGATCTGAGTATTTTTAAAATGAGAGTTCATAAGGCATGGAGAAGAATATAAAACAGTGAAAAATGGACATGGCTGTAGTAGAACATTCCATTAATGAAAAGACAAGACAGAGCCTCGTCAGAGCAATATTGTCAATTGAGTCTTCATACAGGTATTTTGCTTTTATGATTCTGAAGCAGATCTGTTTTTTAATGGATGACATACTGCATCAATATCCTTGGAAAGACACGTAATTCTCATACAGCTAAAATTTTGACTTGGTTATTTTACTTTATTGTTGATACTTGAACAATTTTAGGGACCTTTTTAAGTCACATTATTGTCAACTCTGCTTATAAGTCCAAGTGGAACAGCAGTAGTAACTCAGCTTTTGGAAAGACGTTTGCTTTTAAGTTAGAGAAAAATCAGTGCTTCATCAAGCATCTGACCAGAAGGCACAGATACAATATGAGATCACATGAGTAGAAGAAGCAAAGTCGGATGTTTCCAAAGAGTTTTCTCCCCATCCCATACAATGTTTTGGTGTCTAATGAGAAGCACTCACCCAGTGCTGCCTTCCAACGAAAGGAGACGAGCAGCTACTTGCCATGGTGTTCGAAAGGAATGCTATTCTGAGGTAGGGGAAAAGACAGTAATTTTTAACAGTTCCACTGCCCCAATATATAAAGATGTCTTAATAAAAATCCAACCTGAACTTGTAGTAGCAACTCTATCTTTTGAGAAGCTCTGATTTCAGACTTCTATAAGACATTTCCATCATATTAAGAGGCGCGTAAAAGAAACAAATCATTAATCCTCAAAGGAAGCTGACAGCGTCAGAAGAACAATGCAGAGTATGATGCCTATTAAGATGGGTGGAGAAAGATTTGTGGATACAGAAATGAAAAATGAAGAAGCACTTGAAGTATGGCACAACACTTAAGTTATTCAATGCCAGTGTTGGCTATAGTCTTTTAAAACTTTCTTCCATCAAAGAGCCATAATCAAATATTTCTTTGTGCAGAACTTCAATCTTTCCTTTCAACTACAGAGAATACCTCTATTACCAATTGGAATTTGCCACAGCTTTGACTGTTGGGTGCTGAACATGTTACATTCAAGAAAAAAAATATTAAACAACTTACTGTGTAACCACGAGCAGTCAGACTGAACCTTTCGTTGAAGGAAATGAAGACTACTCACCCACAACTAGACTCTTGAGATGATCATGCTTTCAGGATTCAGTCTGTGCATGTGGACCAGCAGAACTGATTCAAAGTAGTTTTTACTAGAATACTCATTACCTTATTTACTACCTCCTTTATTACACCCCTTAATGTTTAAAAACTTTGTGTAAAGGAGACTTAAAAACTTTGTGTAAAGGAGACTTAGGGAACAACTCAGAGTGTTCAGGAGCAGATGGATCTTTTAACAGTTGGTATGACTTTCTGTCTAACACACTGCACACAGAGCTGAAATTTAGGTTTGCTTTAAACTTGAACACAACACTTAGAACTGAATCGAGTCTCGATGCAAAGGCAGAGAGGAGAGATGATCTACTTATTTTAGAAGTTGTTTCAGTAGGTAACTACTTTCACTTAGACCTCTATTTTGCCTTTCTTTACTTGTGAGTGGTTTTAATTTTATGTGTTAGGTTCTTCACATATTTTCTCCTTAAACATTAATTCCTGTTAAAATCATTTTGTCTCAAACACCACACCAACTCACTCATGACATTTTCTTAGCTTTTAGTACAAACTGAAGGAAGTAGATTTGAAACTCTTACACTGTACAATCTGTTCTCCCAATCCATCTCACTAATGACACAAAATAACATGTCCACTTCTGTTCATTACTGTATCATACATAGGAGGAAACTGTGCCTTTTCATTACGGAAACCACACTAACTTCTCCAACATTACATCTGCCTCCTCAGTCATTACTTACCACAGATACAGCTCCCCCTTAGAGGAAAACAGCCTCCACTTCTTCATCCTAACCAGAATTTGGAGTACTTCAGGAACACACATTTGAATGGACTGCGCTTGACTGCTCAGCTCCCACTGATGTTTATCATTGTGAACTCACAACTTGCAGGTTTTCTGCTGTTGCATTCACTTCATATAATCCAGAAAAGTACTGAATAACATGTGCCATAGAATTTACATAATTTCATTAGAAACATTTAAGTTTCACGAACCACTTCATAAGACACAGCAGTACTTCAATAAATGCTTGTTACTTAGTGTTAGAAACTGCATGTCTTTTCTGAGAAGAATGACTTAGGTGCTATGCAGACGCTATCTTGGATGCCGGGAATGACATCTATTTTGCTATGCTTAGCAATTACCATTTTTCCATGAGCATTAAATTTCTCTGAGAATGCCTAGTTTTCGTAATAGAACTGCAGTTCCTATTATCAAATTTCTCTGAGAATGCCTCCTTTTCCTAAGAGAACTCTGGTTCCTATTATTTGCATTCACAGCCTTAGTTTTTCAGTTTCAGTCTTATTTGATCAGAATTCAGTTTGGAAAAAAGAAAGATAAACACGTGGAATTGTCATCTTTAAGAACTCTACTTAGAGGCCAGTAGCTTTCCTTGTCTGAGTAACATCTGTACATTTCATTGTCCAGAATTTAACAAGCAGCAACCTGTCCTTTAGATAAACAGAGGTGGAGATTGCAGATGCACTGTTGCCTTACCAAACCAAAGCATAAAGTAAATGAAATAACAAAACTAATGTCTCAAATACTTGAGGTTTTCCTAAGAACAAGGTATACAGATAATGGAAAACTCATGGCTATAACTATTGACCTGGCTAACATCAAAGGATAAATTCTGACTACAGAAGAGCTACTTTAGTATTATGAAAACTGTAAAGAGCATAAGCTATCAACGCCTACAACTTGCACCATCCTGCCTGCAAGAGAGTGACAACTGGGAAAATGAAAAGTGAATTTTCTCGAGCAAGCTCAAGCAGTAGTGTTATAAGCTATAGTCTAAATAAAGTGTTTCAGCCACACCACTCAAGTTGCAGAAGATGAAGGCAGGGATTGGGAAAATGAAAACCATCCACTGCAGAAGATGACTGGCTTTGGGACTGTTTAAAGAACCTGAAAGTGCACAAGTCTGTGGGACCTGATGACACATGTCTGTCCACGGGTTCTGAGAGATCGGGCCGAGTAAATGGCTACACCACTATCCATCATATTTGAGATGTCATGGCAGTCCAGTGTAGCTCCCTCTGACTGGAAAGGGGAAACCATAACCCCCAGTTTTATAAAGGGAAATATGTCACACCTCAGTGCCTGGCAAAGTCATGTAACAGATCTTCTTGGAAACTATGCTAAAGCACATGGAAAATAAGGAGGTGATTGGTGTTAGACAACATAGCTTCACAAAAGCTGAATTGAGTCCAACAAATCTGGGGACCTTTTACAGTGTGGCTAAGCAGTGGTGGATGAGAGAAGAGCCACATGTATCACCCACCCGAACTTGTGCAAAGCACTGGATGCTGTGTTGCATGATATCCCCGTCTCTAAACTGCAGAGACACAGATTTGACGCACGGATCACTTGGTGGATAAGGAACTGGCCGGATGGTTGCACTCAAAGAATTGTGGTCAGTGAGTTCGATGTCCAAGTGGAAAACAGCGATGAGTGGTGTTTGTCCCTCAGTATTGGGACCAGCGCTGTTCAAAATCTTTGTCAGCAACATGGACAGTGGAAACAAGTGTGTACCCTCAGCAAATCTGCTGACAACAACAAGCTGTGTGGTGCAGTCAACCGGCTGTAGGGAAAAGGATGCCATCCAAAGAGACCTTAACAAGCTTGAGAAGTGGGTCTTTGGGAGCTGCATGCAGTTCAACAAGGTCAACTGCAAGGTCCAGCATGTGGATCAGGTCAGCCTCAAGCATAAGTACAGGCTGGGTGAAGAATGGATGGATCGTAATTAGCTCTGGGGAGAAAGACTTGGGTGTGTTCATGGATTAGAAGCTCAACATGACTCAGCAATGTGCACCTGCAGCCCAGAAAGCCAACCATATCCTGGGCTGCATCAAAAGAAAAGTGACCAGCAACTTGAGAGAGGGGATTTTTACCCTCTATCCTGCTCTTGTGAGACCCACGTGGAGTACTGTGTCCAGTTCTGGGGCCCCCAACACAAGAACAAAGCCGACAATGTTAGAATGAGTCCAGAGAAGAGCCACAAGTTGACAACAGTGCTGGAGCACCTCTCCTACGAAGACAGGCGGAGAGAGTTGGCGCTGTTTAGTCTGGAGAAGAGAAGATGAAGACTTTGGGGAGAACTGAGAGTAGCCTTGCAGTACCCAAAGGGGGCTTGCAAGAAGGCTGAAGAGGGGCTATTCTCATGGCAGGTAAAAGTGCACATAGTGGCAAAACAAGGGTGAACGGCCTTAATCTGAAGGAGGGTAGATTTATTTATTAGGAAGAAATTCTTTACTATAAGGGCAGTGAGGCATTAGACCAGGTTGCCTAGATAGGTTGTGGACTCCCCATCTCAGGAAATGTTCAAGGCCAGGCTGAATGGGATTCTGAGTAACCTGGCCTACTGGAAGGTTCTCTGCCCATGGCAGGGGGGTTGGAATGAGGTGATCTTTAAGGTCCCTTCCAATCCAACTCATTTCCCCTGCAAATCTCTCTTTCCCTCCAATTGCAACAGGCCCATGGGAATCTGTTCAAATTATACTAGTTACACACCGTTATTTGTTCACCATGAGTAGATACCAGCAGTGGTTCACTGTCTTAAGAACTAAATGAATACAGCAGTCAATGAATTATTAGTTCTAACAAACTCAAGAGAAGATACTGACTAGGCCGCTTTTGAGACTGTAAAGAAGTCAACCAAGCAGACCTGTACTTGGAGCAGAGTGTGAAAAAGAGCAAATATGGAATGTGCCATTAAGCCAGATGGTACTATGGGCCCATATCACAAATTACACATCTGGATGTTTAAAGACCACTCAGAAAACAGCCCAAAGACCACTCAGAAAACTGCTCACTGCTCTCACAATGTTCACATTCTACAGGCCAGGCAGAACCAAAATGGATGTACAAGACCAACTGTATTACTTGTATTTTGAAATGTTTACAATAGTGTCACCTGCACAATGAGTGACATGTCACAAACGTAGCAAAAACATTAAAGATGTACTTGCACCTAAAACAATCAAGGGGCATTGCTACATTTCTGTCTGTTACTGCTATAACTCATTTATGTGACTGTTAACAGAGACAAAGCATCAGAGATTTGCTCAGAATGCCAAAGATCTGGCATATACATTTTGCCACAAAACCATCTTTATATTAAAGTAAATGTTCAGGGAGAAGTCTGCATCACAGCCTCACATAATATTCAAGGTCAAAAAGGACTCCTGGAAATCATGTAGCCCAATCCCACTGCCCAAAGCACAGTCAACTAGAGCAAGACACTCAGGACAATGTCCAGTTGGGCTCCAAGCAATTTGGAAAAGGGAGACTCCACAACTTCTTTGGGCAACCTGTTACATTCCTTGCCCACCTTCATAGTAAAAGAAAGTTTCTCTGTACGTTTAAACGGAATTTCCTGTATTTCAATTTGTGCCCACTCTCCATAGTCCATTCACTGGATATTGCTGCAAACAGTCTGGTTGCACCTTCTTTACATTCTTCTACCAGGTATTTATGAAATTTACAAGATCCATAACTATGCACAATTCTCCCCTTTGTTTTCAAACTAATTAAAAATATTTAAACGTGAGAATTTCTGGTGGCAAGAATAGCACTTCAGTGAACAGTACAAGATGGTGAAACTTGTACCAAAGCCAGTACAGAAAACCTCACCTACACTCTATTCTTGCCCAGTCATTTCTGTTCCTGTTCACCCCTTGTGCAAGCACAAGTATCTGTGCAGCTACATGGTGAAACAAATCATTCAGCTTAAACTCCCCGCCACCCCAAATGCCACTTGGCTTTTATCACAATGGAATTGTTTCTCCAACCCACTTCACTCTCAGTCTTCATTAGATCAGGATGTACAGCCTGAATATCCATATCCACCCAGCCTCCATCTAAAAAACTGTTCTTTCAAGCAGTAAGATTTCATACGTAAGAACCTGTACTATCCAAAAGTAATTAACTCTGCCAATTAAATGATGAAGCTAAAAGGAAGCAAGTTAATTTTTTGTCAATGTGCTCTGTCAACAAGGAACAAGTCCCTGGCAAAAATTATGCACTTGGAGCTTCTGCACAGTAGTGAGGCATGATGGAAAAACCCCTAGGTCACTGCAATAGTCCTCCTAACATACTGCTTTCCCAGAAATGTTGCAGAATGTCTACAGATTGGCTGATTTCCATTTTGTAAGTAAGACTGAAAGTAAATTGTACAAAGCCAAGGCACACACTGTTTGGGACAAGACTGTCAATATGCTGAGGAAGGATAGAAACACATTTAACACTGTTAGCCCTAAAAAGAAACATTCTTAGAATTTCTTTGCTAAGTCACTGTGAGCAGCAAGGATGATTTCAGTGCAACTATGAATCATTATTATTTATCCTCCTGCCATTCTCTTGAAATGAGCCTTCTGCAACATATCCAGCATCCATGTATGTGGCCTCTTATGGGCTCTGAATTAAGAGCACTGCACTACAACCGTAGTGTTGTAGTGCAGTGCTCTTAATTCACTATGCTGTTTCTTCCCTATTGCACCTTCTATTCTTCACCAAATGCTTCTTGCCTTTTCTGTACCAATATTGTGTGCTCTGCTGATCCAGAAACAAGATTCGCTATTGTCTCTTACTCTGCTTCCTCACTTATAACAGGTATAAGAAACTCTATGAGTCAAGGAGCTACATCCCTTAACAGCAGGTTAAAATGCTGCACCTCTACAATTTTGCATCCTCTCATTGCTGTAAAGGTAAAAATAAAAATAAAAATTTCTTTATGCCCACATCATTCAGGCTAAATGTTGAGCATTTACATGAATGAACATCACCTGCAAAATCAGTATGAAATTACATCAATTACCTGGCAAGTTCTTCTGGCAAATTAACTTTATCAAATCACCCTCATTTTTTCCAATACACAGATTTATTTTTTTTTTACCTGCGAAGTTGACATGCGAGAGGTATCTTGTCGGCCTGTTAAATCAGACGAGGAGATATTGACTGGGGCACCACGATGCAATCTCATACTCACTTTCCTTTCTCGTTCCATACCGGATACTGGCCGAGGAGAGGTGTTGGCTGTGAGAAAAACAGTATTAGATTCTCATAATGAGAAATGGCATGTTAACAGTCACTGTAAAAATTACACTCTTGCTGTTTGCACACAAAAATTCCACATAACCAAACGAGGAATCAAGGCTGTTCGCCATTTCATAGAAATACAAGTATCAACTGCCAGGCAAGCAGCATATGTAAATATCTTCAATCTACTAAAAATCAAGGCAGAAAAAACCAAACCAAAAGGCCAAACTCTGCCCAGACACAAACTGCCAATTAGAGTAGTCTACAAGAAAGCACTTACCCAGCTACTTGCTTACTCACCAGCATGTGAAGTTGGGGTAAGGGGAGTAGGAGGAGCTACATCTTGCGTTCCTCTTATCCTGCCAGAAGCAGTGGAGGGTAATCCACGTACAGCTGGATTTCGTGTATGTCTTAATCTTTCCTCTCGTTCCCGTCTTTCACGTTCAGCATCTTCAGCTGCTCTGCTTGCACCCTATGGGCCAAGAGTAGTGAACAACTTTGGGGATTACTCTTTACAACTGTATGTTTATAAAAGTACTGAAAAAGAAGTACTGGACAATGTGTGAACTGAAGTTTGAGAAGGCACCAGCTGCTTTGGTAAAATTTCTTGAGAACTGCCGTAAGTTGTGTTCATACAGCTGCTCGGACAGTCTTCAAAATGTTAATGTACACGTGTACTGTTACGGCAGCTGGACACCTCCTCAAATGTTGCAAATGACTTTTGATAAAGATCAAAGTGGGAGAAAGTAGTAATTCCACAACCTAGCCTGGTGACTGCCCTAAAAGATCTAAGAAGCTGTCCACATTAACAGCTTTGAAACTGCAATTCAGTTGTCATCCAAGCCTTATAGCATGGATCCTGTATCTCCTGCCTTTCTCCTCATTTCCTGGTCTTTCTGTCTATACAGTAGAGTTGCCAAGAGGAAATATGGAAGACAATCTTACAGTATCAGTTAAGGTACTCAAAACTAACAATGCAGTAACAGAACCCATCCAGAACAATTAAAAATTCCAAGTTTTAGAAAGCTGTGTGAGCTACTCACAAATTTCAGCATGTTCCAGTCAAATACATAGTCATAGGAGAATCCTTGCCGATGAAAAAGGTTTCTGAATAATTGCCTTAAATAGGAATAGTCCGGCTTGTCATCAAAACGCAAAGAACGGCAGAAATTCAAGTATGTGGCAAATTCAGCTGTAATTAAAGGAAACCTGTTTTTTATCTAGAGCTTCACACTGGCTTTTTGTAATTCTGTGTCAAAAACACCCAAACCACTCCAAACTTGAAAAGCAGGGAATCTTCTTAACATAAGAAAAAGAATAATGATTTAATACTAGCAATTCACTAAAGGAAACACTGTCATGTCAATTCTGAAAAAGAAATTATTTTTCTATCACAGAGCGGGCAAAGATCTCACTTTTTCGACAGCACAGAGAACCCAATAACACAGTTCTTTAACCAGCAGCTGGCGGGTGGGGGAGAAAAGTTTCAAAACTTTGCTTGGAACATATTGAACACAATTTATTGTGGGACATGGAACAGCATTTCTTTGTTAAGACACACAAGAGATTCATGTCTGCTGTGTCACAAAACACACAAAAACTTTGTCTCCCAGGTAAGTAACGCCACATTTTTAATTTACAATAGTCTGAACACTTTTTTTAAAGGGCAAGCAAAATATTACAAAGGAAAAAAAAAGAATACTGTAGTGAATTCAGTGCACCAGAGAAAAGCAGCAGTATCAAAATAATAGCTTTTGACTTTAGATTTTCCCAAATGAAATAACAGAATAATTTATATTAAGAAAGAAATTCTAACTAACGGCACAAGAGAATCTGATTAGTCTTCCCTGCCTGTAAACCCCAGAGAAAATATGTAATTCATGAATGTAAAGGAACATGCACGAAGCAACACTTGAAACACATAATGATGCATTTTCACACAACCCAAACAAAAACTATAGTTCTTGTCATTGTAACAAGAGGGTGAAGAGACAGAACTCTTTGTGAAATTAAAATAGTCTCTGATGACAGCCAGTGTAACTATGTTTTAAAACAAACTGAAGTATCATTTTACAATACTCAAAAAGGCTTATTGTTGTTGAGGTGTAAAAAACTGAGGAACAGAACTGCTCCGAGGCATGATGCTAGGATACAGCAGTGTTTCTTATGCTTCTCACAAATTCTAATCCATCAGCAGGCGAAACCAGATGAACCTGAGATGATAATTCCCAAGCAAAACAACTGCAGTAGATAAGAGATGCATCTGACTACACAATCCAATTCATCCAAGAAACAGTACCCGCACAGACAAAGGCAGTTTGTTAAAATGCTATTTGTCTGTTGCCAATTATCCAGCCAACAGGCACACAAAAATTACAGCACAAAACAGGGTACCATGCTACCCTTCCTCTTGAGGGCACTTAACAGTTGAGACAAGGGATCCCTAGAAATGCTCTATGAACACAAAAGATCTGTCTTCAGCATAGTATTTTTACCACACGTGTGGTAAAATCATGGGGAGATAAGTAAGGGGAAGAGGAGAAGGAGAGAGACAGATGGTGAAAAAGAGTAGCAGAATTTAACATAAGGAAAGGAGATGTACCACTAAAAAATGAACACATAGTCCTAGTGTCACAGAAGAGTAACTTACAAGGATATCCTTTACACAAAACCTCAATGGGTGTAGACATTTTCTTTTCACTGATACGTTCGTATTTCTGCCTCTTTGTTGCTGCTTTCAGTCCCTGCCAGGGGAGGGAGCCCAGGTTAAAATACATCAGTACATAGCCCAAGGACTCCAAGTCATCTCTGCGAGATTGCTCTACAACAGCATAAAAAAGTGAACTCATTAGGTTTCATTTTCTACTGGCAAAACAAAAGTCTGTGCAACAAGATTGTTATAAAAACCCTTCCAAAACAAGAGACAGTTGAGTGTTACTATGCCCATGACAAACTCATTCAGTAAAAGAAAAGCCTTTTATCCTTACAGTTATTAAAAAATTGCTACATCCCAAGCATTACAAACTCAGACTGAACAGACTAATATAGACTGAATCCCACTTAATAAAGATATACAAGGCCATGCACGTTGTAGTCTTAGTGTCAAAAATAGGGACTGTCTCCTATGCCTCCCCAAAGCAACATCGACTTGAACTAAGATTACATGCACCGACACTCTTGAAGTTTCTATTTATTGCCTTCCCCAGCTCACCAATTCCAAGATGAGTGTTGATGGATGCATAACGGGCAGTTCCCGTTAAGTTTTTATTTTCACGATATGGAATATGTTGATGAGTTCGAGCATCTCGATACTTTTTTGCTAGTCCAAAGTCTATTATGTAGACAAGATTGCCTTTCTTCCCCAGGCCCATTAAGAAGTTATCTGGCTTCACATCTCGGTGGATGAAGTTCTTAGAGTGAATATATTCAATTCGACTAATCTAAATACAGAACCACAAAAAAAAAAAAAATCATTGTCAAGAGACTAAGCACACATCTTTTTCTGACAAAAACACTAGAAATGGTGTCTAAATAATGAAAGAGGCAACTCCCCTTTCTATTGTAAAATATAAGGGAATTAAAAAGAACAATTTAGAAGACAACAGACAAACCTTTCCAGCTCTTTGCCCGTGTGTATTTTACAAAACCAGGACAATCTGTTTCCAAAAACTTTCTAGGGGAAATTTCTTAGTCTTTGAACAGTGCAACACCCGGTTTGCAAACAGTGCAGTTTCAGTTTTTAAAGAAGAATGGCTAATCACTTTTCATGGGATAGTTTGGATTTACAAAAACAGAGCTACTTTTGATTTTTTCTCTATTAATACAGCCTATTCAGCTCTAAATTTTAGAAATAAAATGAATATGATAAAAAAAATTCTATATCCCAACATATTTGACTACCAAGGTAACAAAGTCATTACCTACCATTTGGTCAGCAAGTAATAGGACTGTCTTGAGACTAAATTTCCTTGAACAAAAATTGAAGAGATCTTCAAGACTCGGTCCCAACAACTCCATCACCATAACATTGTAGTCCCCTTCAGCTCCACACCACTTAATTGTGGGAATACCCACTAGGAAAAAATAAATAATTTATTCAGTATAACATTTTGATTTATATAATTGATGCACACAAATCTTCAAGGCTCTTAATATTAATTCTGAGTGTCATTCCCATGAATGTTTCCATTTACAGCAAAGCTTAATATTTTATGTTCAGACATTCCAAATTAAATGTGGGACAACTTCTAGCAGAATCTATACAAAATTCTAGCAACAGAGGTCTAAAAAGAGCCTTTTTTCTTTTCCCCAGAAACCTTCTAGTCTTCATGCTTATCTTGTAACTTTAAAGTATTGAGCATCTTTGTTGGATTTGAACCCTAAGCATTTTACCAAGAGTAATATTCACGTAGTCTCTAGGATGCAATAAGGCACAAATCAGGAGTTTGAAAATAAAACCCTGACCACCCACTACGAGGAAAGCCTTAGAAATTAACTTAGTTTTAAAGCCTACAAAATCACCATGAAATATCTGTGTCCTCCATCAAAATTTGCAATGAATTTCTGCCCTTCCTTCATATTCTTGTCTTTCCTTCAGTTTCATGGTATTTGCTGTTTGGTGAATCTCTACCAAAGCAGCATTGTTCATGAGATGCATTATTCATTCAGTTTTACAGTATGATAATTAGCCCAAATTTATGGAGGAAGTCAGGAACCTTATTTCACAAAAAAAAAAAAAAAATAGAAATGCTCAAATATTTTGAAATAAATCACCACATAGGTAGCCTTATTCAGATTTTCAAATGCCTTACTCAGAGTTAATTCTATGCATTTTGGTGTGAAATGCCGTAATTCGCTGAATTTACAGGAAGCATGATATTCTATGAAGGCTATTTCGGTTACATACAGGTGGCAACCGAATGATGAGGGAATTAAAAAGTAACTAAATGCAAATACATACTATTATCAATTTCTAGAGGTCTTATTACCCTACTTGGCATGTACTTGAGATACAGCATGGAATGTACTCTTCATGCAAAGCACATCCTCATTTGGGAAGAATTCAAGAGACTATAAAACAAACACAAAACTGAACTACACCGGGTTTATGTCCCAGAACTGCATAGGAATGTTACATTTCCAGAATTCCAAAATATATGAGCAAGTTACTGTAGCAAAGCAACACACAGTAGCTAAGAAGTTGCTGCATTCCAATTCTCCACTACCAGAGCCATTTTGTCTTTGAACTCTCCCAGCAAGGAAATATTTGTACCACAGACAAAAATAATACTAACATGCACAACAAAAATTAACCTGATTGCTAAAAGTTTAGAATTGTGCTACCATAATACGCAAATCAAGTGAAATGGTCCAAAGTAGCGGTTACCATCTTTCACTGATCCACGAGAATCAGAAATAAAGCACTGTTCTGAGATGAAACTTTGTTTCACATTGCACAAGGTCCTCCCACTTCAATATTTTGGGAACCATGAGAAACTTTGGAGGATCTTACTGGTTATCATGAAGCATGATAGCCGTGGATTTAGAACTGCTCCTCTACAACCCTTGCAGAACTAAAATGCTGCTCTTTATCTATCCTGCTGCCTTTCCCACCTTCTCCTTATTTCTCAAAAGAGATCCCAAACATTAACTGTCAGGTGGCAGACAGATCAAAGGTGTAAAAGCAGTAAAATCTTTGAAGAAGGAAAATAGTTTGCTTGCCTCCACCCTGCATCATTTTGTAGATTTTACTCTCGATGTGGAGCTGAGGATGTTTGGTTTTCACACATTCCAACTTTATTGCAACCTCCTCTCCAGCAGCAATATCAGTTCCTAAAACCAGAAGAATTAAAACATTGGTCAAAATATTTTTAAGATGCATTTCCTTTGCCAAGACCGAAACAAAATGAGCATCAACAAACTACTCCTCAATGGCAAACATACCATTGGGAAGTAGTTTAGTGATTAAGTACTTTCAGCCACAATTACCTAAAAATTCTTCTGAAACTTTACAGACACTCTCCAACAGACTAGGATTACAAGAGAAAACTATTGTATAATGAGAATCCAAAATTGCTGCTATCCCATTGGAACAAACAAACAAACAAACAAACCCCAGATAAACAACAAAACTAAATCAAGTGTGTCTTCTCAGGAATGTCTTTCCACTTCCAGTTTGTGGTAAAAACGGTCAGAATTAATCTTTATGAACATGGCAAATTGACCCGCCAATGGAAGAAGTACTAAGAATTCAAATCATCTCCTCTTATGTCTTGGAAATAGAGGCTACAATTTCCCTAGATCTCAACATAGTCCGGCTATACCCTGACACCTCATTTTACTTGGCTGGAAGGCAGCTTATCTAGACTAAAGAATGTGCAGTCCGCAAAAGCTTTCTTTTAAATCTCATTAAATTCTTGTTTTAAGAATCAAAAAAGGCTTACCTGTTCACTTTCAAAATATGTAGGGAGAAACTGACATTCTTAAATAGAAACAGTCAAGAAAATACACACTGTCACAGCCAAGCAACTTACAAGCTATAAGAAAAAAAGGAAATAGCAAAAGGAAACGTGTGACACTTCATGGACATTAGGACATTATCTCCGAGTCTCTCTACTTCAGGAATTTGGCCCTTTTCTGCTTTACCTCATGGTTCAGGATTATGTGAAGTACACCACCTATAGTTCGATCTGATCCCCACTTTCAAAAGCCTAACTAGAGGTTCCTCTCTAGTCTGACATGTCTTCAACACCCTTGTATCTGCATTTAAGACAAAACCTGGGGACTAGAAACAGGCAAAAATAGTCAAATCTTCATCTTCAAAGCACAAAACTGAGCTGGGAATGTACGCTGAAATAATCCACAAATTCACTGAGGCCTATCAGAAAGCACGTCTACTTAAAAATAAATATTGGCTTCTGAAATAACTTTAGACATTATTTTAAGACACTTGTGTCTACTGTACAGTCTGAACAACAGAGCAGTAAATGGAATTTTTAAAAAACTGACCACATTTCGTTTTCACAAAAAAACACAGTTTTCAAACATCTGTCCTACCACATAATGGATGGCAAAGCAAATGGGACTCTACAAAAGGCTTCAGTTCTTGAAAGACAGTAATTTTCCCTGGAAAAATAAAGGCCACCAGGATCTTCCATTAATGTACTTCCAGGCTAGTTCCATGCCTGAGCCATGCTTCATATAAATGGGATGACATTTGCAATAAGCCCTGAGACTAAATTCATGACAATTATACAGAAATAAAAAGAAATGTAAAACCCAGAGGATTTATTGCATAGAATTCAGTACAGCATTAATATATACACTAGCATACAGGGAACTATTACTTTCTGTGCAACTTCACTGGTGTAAGCTGTATTCATAGAGATAAAAGTCACACACAAACGTTTATTTCCCTGGCACTTGATATAAATACTGTAATACAATCTGATTTATCTGAGCAATAGTCAAGTTTAAATTTCTCAAATCATTTAAGACTTTTCAGATTTTAACTGCTGTCTTAATTGTCCCCCAAAATCCCAGTGGAAGCTAACAAGGATTTTTGCACTAGCTTTACCACAATCTTCTATGGTCACATCTTCAATCTTCTATACATGCATTGTAGAGAGGAAGAATCACATTCTCTGACTCTAGACCATCACATGCCTTCAGTTAGAAATGAGTATTTTTCATCAAGCATATGATCTGTCTTATGGATAACCAGTATTTCATTTGCTGTAAACAAGCAGCTTTAGGTAACAAATTACGTTGGAATGCCAGCTGTGCACTGCAAGATGTACGGAAAAACAACCCCCACCTCTCATACTGCATGCACTGCAAGCGTACCACATAAGCTAGCAAGTGACATTATTTTTATTTTCCACAAATATGCAGTCAATGAAACTTAACCCTTGCAAGTTCCCCCTTCCCTGATTTGCTTTTCTAGGTTAACATAATTTTCAAAAGCAGAACACTTGTGTCTACCAGGCGGGACGTAATGCTCATATTTCTTTGGATTTAATCCACTTCACATGGCTTGAGAGTTTGCGAAATATGCAAGTATTTTAAAAACATCCGCTTTCAAAATGTTTTGCACCCGCTACCTGTGCTTGTCATAAACAGTAGCAGTAGGCTATGTTAGAGGGCTATAATAATGGACTGGCAAAGACAATTCCAAGCCTTTATATTTTACAATTGCACAGCGATCACGATTAGTAATGGTCAGCAACAGGATTAGCCAAACTATCAGGATTTAAAGTTTTTTTTTTTACTGCAATCTATTCACTTGTACTTGTGTAATTTTTTTAGGCCTCACAGGAGAAGGAAACATCCTTCTGACAACAATTTTTCCTAGTCCACTGCAGCGATATTTAACCGTGCTATGTTTCCTTTCCGAAACGTTTTTCCGAATGCAATGGGGTTTTTTCCGAATGGGTTGTGGGGTTTTCAGGGTTTATGCGATTTTGGGTTTTTTTCCTTCCTTGTTTTGAGATGAAGCGATTTTTACCCTTATGCCCATTTTACAGACTCGAACGGTGCCCAAGGTCACTAGACAACAATGAGAAGAGACAGCCGAGTAAACCAGAATTCCCGATTTCCGCACCATACAAATTAGGACATGATGTCAACGAAATATTAAATTACTGCTGCTGTGTCCCTAGCCCAGGTACTTGCCCGACCTGGCTAGGCCCTCGATGTTCTCCACACAGCTACAAAACGGCCAGCTGAATCTACAGCGAGCCATCCTCCTTACCCAGGTAGATATCCCCGAAGGAGCCACTCCCGATCTTCCGGCCCAGCCGGTACCGGTTCCCAACCCTCAGCTCCATGGCGGCAGCTCGGCTCGTCCGCGACCCGGTTCTGTTGCTCTGCCCGGTCTGCTGGCTCTCGTTCTGATGCCTCACAGTCCTACGGTTTCGGATGCCATCGCGGCTTTGGTCTCGCCGCTCGACACTAGCGAGACAGTCAAGCCCGTCGCCGCACCTCCCGAGCAAGATGGACACGGATTCCCGACACGACCGGCGCCTCAGCCCCTCCGGCCCCCAGCCACCATACTGCGTGACCTCACTTCCCTAGCGACGGGGGCGGGGCGCGCTGCCGCAGCGACGGGCACGCGGCGGGCGGGGCGCGGATGCCGTCCCAGCTCCCCCGCCCGCCGCTCTCTTGGTGCTCGTCTCGGCGGGAGTGCCTGCCCCGTCTTATCGCGCGTCCCAGCCACATGCCGGGCGGCGAATGAAGCCCACGGTCTTCCCGGTGCGTATGGCGTCGTCGTCCACGAGGCCGTCGGTCACCGCAGTGGAGATGGAGCTCCGGCAGCACTGCGTTCCGAGGAGTGCCCGTTTGACCGGGAAGGCGGAAGGAGGTGGGGGGAGTGGCTGCAGGGACAAAGTCTGAGAAGTGACAAATTTCAGGGGAAAACCATGTCATTCTTGCTGGAGAGTAGTGTTGGGATCTCCTCTCTCTCTCCGGGTGAGGAAGAATTTCTCTAAGCAGACCGCCGCTGAGCACTGCAGGGCCTGTATATGTAACCATGTAGTGTCTGCACATGTGAGGCTGTGTATTTGTGAAGCCTCATACTGTAAAAGTTGTAAGACGTTAATGTCTTAGGTGGCTGACAACTGAGCCACTGGAAGTACAGAGTAAGAGAGGGAGAGAGAGACAAAGACACATCTGAACTGTCAAATTCCCACAGCAACTGTTAGTGGGAGCTGTGATGAGTCCTGGACCCATTAGTCCATGTAGGCCCCCTACATTGCAAAACACGCCTCCCAGACCCAAGCTGGTCCCAGTGCCAATTCGAGCTGCTTTGACAATGCCAAGCACCTCCTAAAATCTGCAATCAGGAACCCAACCTGCTGAGTTTTGTTACTGGAGAAGGGGCCGGCACTGGTGTTCAGGGGCCTGTGGCCCAGAGTGGCTTGCTGCATGGTGGAAATTCTGCATTACACAGGATGCCTCCCAGACCCAAGCTGCTGCCACTGCAATGTTAGGCTACTTTGTGAGTCCCAAGCACATCCTGCAAACCCTCTCCAGCTGTCACTCCATGTTAAGGGTTTTGATTGGGGGAAAAATGCATCTTTTTTAATTGCTGGAGTGATTTAAATTGAGGAGAAATTCTTTTTACAATATTTTTAAAGATTAAATTAAAGGGCAGAAGCAGTTCATTTGCCATTTTATCAGTTTCAGTGGGGGTAATTGCCCTGTTCTCTCATTTTTAGGGGTTCACTTGAAGGAAGCTCTGTCTTTTTTAGCATTTTAAGGATTTAAATATTTATTTCTCAGAAATTCTTTCTGTGCCTTTGGACCAGGTATCTCATAGGAGGGTGAGCCTAGCACGTACTTACCCCTTACACTGCCGAGGAGTTTTTTTTTTTTTCTTATTTTTCTTTATAATGTAGATAGCCTGAATTAGAGGTCCCAAGGAGACTTAGACTATTCAGATCATTAGTATTCTTCTCCATCCAGCTTAGGCACATGGGAAGTACTACGTTGTAGCCACTAAGGAATAATTATGTAAGCTAACAGCAAATTACCTAATTTATCTAGTTATGCTGCCTAAACAGAAAGTTTTATTTCTTACCAGTTTTCTGCCATTTTGCTCCAAGCAGTTGCTGCAAAAAAGAAAGCGCTGTTATTTTCCTGAAGAGTTTTCTTCTACAACAAACCCTTTACTCCCCTTGCATTCAAGTCAGAGGATCCAAACAGCTGCAGCTGCTCTGAGGGCTTTTATACCCGGTGGGATTTGCCCCCTCCCTTTTCCTGGGTGCCATGGGAACGAGAGGCGGGCACCATCAGGGATATATGAACCCCAGCCTTGGCTGAGAGGCCTCATTCCCTCTGTGGGATGTGCTGGGATAAGAGCTCTCCTCTCATTTCAGTGAAGAGGCTCTTTCAGCTCATCTCAGCTTGTTTCCAGCAGGTGTTTCTGGGCATCTAAAGCACAGAGGCTTTGAAGATTCTGTGAAGTAAACAGCATGGAATACAGGGAGTATTTAGATTC